ATTTTGAGATTGCACAACTTTCCCATAGACTCTGGCTATTTATTATTTTCTATTCTTGTTTTAAGTTGCTAGAGGGTACGTGCGATCGCTAGAAACAGGGAGAGAGCACCCCCCAGTGGGGCATGGTTACACTGCAAGCGCTCCTCCATTTAGCCAACCTGTGCTCCTTTGGGGCACACTCATACATGCCTGTTTTTCAAGCTCCTGGAGCTAGGATTTGAACCGTGGTCAACCATGTGTGATCCAGCTGCCTTAACCACCATGCCACCACATGTGACTTCTAGTAACTGCCATTAATTATCCATGGCTGCCTGGGTTTTGCAGGTGTGTGTGTGTGTGTATGTGTGTGTGTGTATGTGTGTGTGTGTTGGGGCAGGGGCAGCTGTAGTTTTATTTTAGCATGTGGTTCCCTAACCTGGGTTCAGTTCCACCAGGCTTTGGTAAAACTAGGAAAGTAAGGTTATGTGAAGTTGCTAGAAATCTAAAAGCTACGTGTGGTGGGGGTGGGAGTAAGGGCTTCAAAAAGTTTATGGAAAATGTGTATTATGAAAAAAACGTACAGGGATTTCACCATTTGCACTAAAATAAACTCGTATTTTGATTCCGTCTTTCCATGAACTTTCTGAAGTCTTAATACTTAAAGACGTATTCTCCATGCAATAATTATATTCTTTTCTGTATTAAAATGCCCTAGGGAAGAGTCATAATTTTTACTTGCTAAAACAAATACAAAGAACATTTTCCCAATATTGTGGGTGTTCTCACAGCTCCTTGAGACCTAACTATTGGGAGCCATCACTACAGACTCAGCAGCTGGGGTGGGGGGGTCTCCCCCTTCCTCTCTAGTCCCTGCCAGCTCCGAGTTGCAGGGAGAAACACTGGAAGCGCTAGTTCTGCAGGCCCTCCTCCTGGGGGGGGGGGGGGGAGTAAGCTCAGAGTTTCCTGCCTCTTCTTGCTGGTCATTAGCAAAGGGCTGGCAGCTGCCCAGGGGCAGCCTCTGAAGCCCAGTCTGGCATCAGGAGCTGGCTTCTGTCCCGGCCACGTGGGTGGGGAGTGAGGGGAAGAGGCTTTTGTCTGCAAGTGGTAGGAATTCTGGGGCCTTCACCCACACCCCTCTCTTGGGCATGGAGCAGTTCACTGTAGGTGCCTGGCCCTGCAGGTGGTCGGTCCAGTGCAGGGGACAGTCTCAGCAACCTCCAGCCTCTGGGGGTGTGATGCCCTGCTGTGTGGGGTGCTAGGACATCTTTCTGGAGGGAGTCCTTCTGGGGATGGGATGAAGGCCAGGCACCCAAGAGCTGGAGGAAGAAGCACTTGCAGTCACCTCACTAAAGAATATTCATTTATTTATAATTATTGCTAAGTAAACTTTTCTTTTAAACAGGAACATAAAAACACAGTAGGGCTCTGCACAAGTGGAATCTCTAAACAGTTGGTTTGTATACACGTCAAAATAAGTTAGAATGGAATTCGTCCAGGAGTTTCCAAGTCACCCGAGAGGCTGCACGCCTCATTCGAGGGTCGGGGAGGGGTGAGGACAGGGGCCTTGCCAAGACCACCCCCAGCGCGGACTGAGTTGTGCCGTTCCTCCTCTTAGCGTTGCCCAGGTCCAAGGCACAGGGCAGGGGGCGTTCAAGTATCGAACCTCGCGGGGGCCAGTGCTGATGGCGGGGCTGGGGGAAAGGGGAGCCCCCACCCTGGGGGCTGGACCTTCCCCCTTCGGTTTCCAAGGCCACTGCACTGGCAGGAGAGAGGAGGAAGAGGAGGAGGTACAGGGTTCTTTTTGGTACCAGGGGAGAAAGACGTTGTGGGAAGAGGTAGTTTGCAGGGGATGATGCCTTCTGCTCAGCAGGAGAAAATGTCTTGTACAGTGACGGGTCACTGCCACCTGAGGGTCATCATGGCGGGCACCTAGGAGGCCAGCGGGGCCTCGGGGTCTGGGGAGCCACACGGGGCCACCTTGTCCACCCCTCAATCCTGATCACAGTACCCTGAGGCCTGAAGGCTTGGTCCTTCACTTGAGGATACAGCCTTGGGGGTAGCTGCATTTCCAATCGGTTCTCCTCACCCGGCTGTTTCCCCCTCCTGGTGTCTGGGCTGAAGCTGGTGGCTTCACCTGTGCCTTTGGGGACGGCCCTGCTCGTCCTGCCCCAACCCACTGAGGCCACAGGAGGCAAGTGGGCAGGAGTCCGGGTGCCCTAGAGTTCCTGAATGTGCTATGTCACTGCCCAGGGACTGCAGTCTTCGGTTCCAGGGGCAGGAGCTGGCATGGGGACAGAGGGGACAGCAGGCGAGCCGGGAGTGAGCTGCTAGCTTAGTAGTCAGCAGCCCTGTTGGAGCGAGTCACCAGCAGAGCAGCCAGGCTGGGGTGGGGGTGCCCCCTCTCTGCCTCCCGCCCCAGCCTGCCACGGCTCCTGCCAGTGGCTGCACCTCCAGGGACAGAGCACCTGTCTCTGGTGCGCGGAGTCCTGCCCGGCCGGGCTGCTCTAGGGTGGGGAGGCACGAAGCACGCACAGCACACGAGAAAGCTTACATTTGGAAAAAGAAAACGCATCTCATCCAAAAAGATAATAATAGGCGACACAGAGTTGGAAAGAAAGAAAAATAATAAATTACCTTCGTAATACCCCCATTTGCTCAGAAAATGTTTTTCCTCTATGGTCTTCATTTTCCTTTTTCAGTAATGTTGCTCTTTGCTGGGGGCCTGCTGACTCTTGGCTGTCCCCATCCTCAAAATGGAAACTTGTTAATAGGAAACTATCTGAGTCCCTCCCTCCCCCACAGAGGTGATCTGTGGGCTCCCCTGAGGACAACCCCTCTTGGTCCCCAGCAGTGCCCTCACCCTGCCCTGCCCTGCCCCTCGCTCAGGGGGCCTCCATCATCTGTCCTGGTTGGTGTGTGCGGTGCCCAGCTCAGGGCAGGGCTGGATGACATCTGTTCAAAGTCAACTTCAAGGATGCTCACTTCCCACGTGGCCACAGGACAGGGCCTTCTGCGGGGGTGGCTGGAGAGGATGGGCTGGGGGCTAGGCCTCCCGCCTTTCTGCAGCCAGGGCCAGGGACCACATGTATGCCTGGCTCGAGGGGTACGTGGGAGGCACCAGGAGGTAGAAGGCAGAGGGTCCCCCTTGGCTGGCTGGCCACAGGGTGGGGCAGGGAGCTCCTGGGCCTGGGTGGGATGGGGTGGGCATTGCTGACAGCTCAGGAGCTCAGACATCCCTAGAGGCAGGAGCTGGTCAGAAGACAAGCAGGGCCTGGCTCAAACAATCCCTTCCTCCAGTGTTAAGAACCCTGAAGAACTGGGCCTGGAGTGGCCTGGAGAGACCTGAAAGCCTGTGCCCTGGTGACCTGTCCCCAAAGGGCACCATCAGCACTCTCACACCCGCCCACACTGGCAGGCCAAGGAGACCCAGGCCTGGCCTCCCATGCTGTCCTTCACCCGCCCGCATCCCAGCCAGGCCTCTGGCTCGCGGCTGAGGCTGGTCGCAGTCTCCATTTGGTTTAATGGTCCCTAGTGGTGCAAATGACTCGGGAGGGAGGGCGCAGGACAGTGGGGCAGTAGCTCATTTCTCAGCTGCGGGAGGTGCGGCCCGCAGCACGGGGGTCTCGCCCCCACGCCCACGCCCTCCGCGCCCACTCTGGGGGCCCAGCTGGCGCTATAGCACGTTGTAGTAGGCCATCTCTTTCATGGCCTGCTCGGTGAGGACGCTGGCCTCGGCGCTGCTATCCACGCCTGCGTAGGCGTAGGCATTCTCTTCGAAGTCCTCCATCTCCTGCTGGCCGTCAAGCTCAGAGGGGTCGGTGCCTGTCAGCTCCATCATGGGGTCTGCAAGAGAGCGGCACAGTTAGGCCTGTATGCCGCCTTGTGGCAGGAACGGGTGACTTGTTTTTAAGAGAGATTTTTTTCCTCTAGGGTGCATCCGCTCATCACTCATCGGAGAGACAGACAGAAAGCGAGAAATCACCCCCTGGGAGGGAGGGATGGCCACACTGCAATCCCCTTCTCTTCCATTCTCCTCTTGGGATTTTGGGCACGCACACACAAGCCTGGTATGAGTTTCAAGCCACCAGGTCTGGGACTCGAACCATGGCTGGCCACATGGGAGTCCAGGACCTTAAGCACTATGCTACCTGTTGGCCCCTTAGTGACTCTTCTAAGGAAAGGACTGTAGTCATTGCTTCCAGAGGACTGTCAGGTTTCTCTCAGCCTTCTCACCCTAGGAGGCCCCAGGCTCGTGTGGCTTTGCACATGGGCCTCCTGACGTTGGCCCTGAAGCTGCGTGGGGGTGGGTGCTCACAGCAAGGACCTGGCCTTGAAGTCTCCTTTGGGTCAAGCCTCCATTGCCCTCCTACGTCACTAAGCCTGGTATCCAATCTCTGCCATATCTCTCAGTGGTTCCCCTTGCCACATGGGAGTTTGCTGTCCAATGATAGCATGTATTTAGCACCTGCTGCATGCCAGGCACTTCACCTACCTCATCTCATCCAGCGCTCACAGCAACCCCCTTGAGCAGGTGAAAAGGCTGAGGTTCAGAGAGGTTAGTCAGCTTGCCCAAGGTCACACTCAGCAAGTGCTGTTGTTTGGAACCACTGTGCTGTCTTAAGTTGCTGGAGGAAGCCGATTCAACTGGCCTCCCAACGGCATTCAACCAGTTTACTCAGTGGTATCCTTGGGGCCTGCATCTCCAAGGATGAACACGCAGGGCAAGTGAACAAACAAATATGAGGCACAAACTCTAGGAGTCTTCTTGTAATGTCATCAAGTCAAAGTCTTACTCTAAAAATCTTACTGTTATAAGAAAAGCTATAGGAATGGGACCAGCAGATGGCATAATGGTTATGTTGCTGGACTCCCACAAAATTGACTGTGGTGTGGCCATCCTCCCTGGGGGATCATTTCTCACTTTCTGTCTCTGGTGAGTGCAAACACCCTATAGCAAAACCTCTCTTTAAAAGGGGGGGGGGGAACATTTAGTGTAATGTCTATGTTGCTGGACTCCCATGTAGTCGACCATGGTTCGAGTCCCGGACCTGGTGGCTTAAATTCATGCTGGGCACATGTGCGTGCGTGCCCAAGATCCCGAGAGGAGAATGGAGGAGAAGGGATTGCGGCGTGGCCATCCCCCCTGGGGAGTGATTTCTCGCTTTCTGTCTCCCTGTCTCTGTCTTTCTGGCGAGCACACGTGCCCTATAGCAAAAACCTCTCCAAGAAAAAAATAAAAAATAAAAAGAAAGAGAAGGAGACAGCCAGGTGGCATGGTGGTTAAAGCGCTAGATCCCTCATAGCTGACTGTGGTTTGAGTCTGGGCCCGGACGCTTGAAAAATACACCTGGTGTATGTGCGTCCATCAGAATCCAAGAACAGAGTAGATGGACTGCAGCATGGCCATCTCCCCAGGGAAGTGCTTTCTCACTTTCTCTCTCTCTTTCTCTCTGGTGAGTACATGTGTCCTGCAGCAAATTTAAAAAGAAAGAAAGAAAAGACAAAGACCAGAATAACAACTCTACAGAGCAGGCCTCAGGCATGATCCTGGGCCCCGGGAGGCTGGCTGGCCGCAAGGTGCATTCTGCCCTTGTCCAGGGAGGAGAAGTGTGTTTGGAGGAAGCAGGCCCCAGCCCAGGGGAGAGCGCTAATAAGTTTTAGACACGGTGTTTCAGCTTTGGCACAATGACCACTGGGGTCCCTCGTTCTTTGCGGGGCCATCCTGTGTACTGCAGGATGTTTACTGACCTCGCCCACTGGATGTCAGGGCACCACCCCAGTTGTGAAGACAGAAAATGTCTCCAGACATAGCCAAATGTCCCCGGGGGACAGACCACTTCTGGTGGAGAATCACTGATCCAAGGAGTGGTTCAGAAGTAGGTGCGTGATCCAATTTGGCCAGTGAGTACAAGGAAAGGCCAGTAAGTAAGTTCCTAGAATGTTCTCATTGGTTCCAAAGAACCCAGGGGAACAGGCTCTTGCTCTTCCACCAGATATGAATGTGTAAGGAAGCATGCTACCCTGATGCCCACTGGCAGCCATCCTGTGACCATGAGAAAAATCACAGTTAAGGTTATGGATGGACAGAGGGAGCCTAACCCTGATGTCATTGTTGGGGAGCTGATTTAGCCAACCCTGACAATGGCTGGATTTTATCTTTCCTTAATCTATTTCCTTATTTATTTATTTTTTTTAGAGGTTTTTGCTATAGGGTGCATGCGCTCACCAGAGAGACAGAGAGACAGAAAGCCACGATCCCTTCTCCTCCATTCTCCTCTTGGGAGCTTGAGCACGCACGTGCATGCGCCCGGTGTCAGTTTAAGCCACCGGGTCTGAGACTCGAACCGCGGTCAACCACAAGGGAGTCCAGCAACAAAGCCATTATGCTAACTGCTGGTCCCTCCTTATTGTTTAGGCCAGTCTGAATGGGTGTTTGTTTTTATGCCTAAGTCACCCGACATCTTCCTGACTTTATAAAAACAAGGCCACCTATCCCAAATCTCACAGATGCGAGGCTGTTTCTTCCTCACATCCTAGGGCCACACCTTATTATAGACAGCTGGTTATCAAAATGAGCACCCTGGGAAAATTTCCACCTCTGGATCTCTGTACACTGTCCGCATTTTGGTTATTAAGTCTTTTTGGGGGTGAAGTGGGGAACGAACTTTTCTCTTTTTTAATATATAATAATTTTAAAATTAAAAAAAAAATTGCTAGATGGTGTATGTGCTTCCGAAGTGGGGAACGAACTTTTCTCTTTTTTAAGTTAATATATAATAATTTTAAAATTTAAAAAAAAATTGCTAGATGGTGTATGTGCTTCTGAGAGAGAGAGGGGGGAAGGAGGGAGAGAAGAAACACCCTCTATGGGGGATGGTCATGCTGCAATTCCTTCTCCTCCATTTTTCCCTCCTTTTGGGATTTTGGGCATGCACATATGTCTGACATGCCTTTCAAGCCACTAGATCTGGGACTCAAACCACACGGCCACATAGGATCCAGCCACCTTAACCACCACACCACCAGCTGGCCCAATAACCGTGTACCTTTGTTGTCTACTGGTCCTGTCCTCTTGGCCCAAGTCTGTAGAATTTTTTCCTCAGACAATTTTATTTATTTAATTTTTTAAAAAAGGTTTTGCTATGGGGTATGTGCACTTACCTAAAAGAGAGAGAGACAGAGTGGGAAAGTGAGAAATCACTCGCTGGGAGGATAGTCATGTTGCAATCTGTTTTCCTCCAGTGTCTTCTCTGGATTTGGGGCACACATGCACATGTGCCTAGCATGAATTTCAAGCCACTGAGTCCGAGACTCGAACTGTGGTTGGCCATGTGGGAATCTAGCACCTTAACCACCATGCAATCTGCTGGTCCCAGCCTAGCATATTTTACAACAACATTAATTCATTTCTCCACATTATAGCCCATAGTTTACTAAACGGTTTGTATATTGGGTTGTCAGAAAAGTCATGATGTATTTTTCTTTTTTTTTTTTTTTAAGAATTTTTAAATTTAATTGATTCATTTATTTATTTTAATTTGGCCAGAGAGAGATACACAAAGAGAGGGAAAGTGAGAAAGCAAGTCAGCAGGTCCAGGACTCAAACCACAGTTGGCCTTGTGGGAGTGTCTAGTGCCTTAACCACCATGCCACCTGCTGGGCCCACACAACGTATTTTTCTATGCAAAAATGCACTGTGACTTTTCCGATGACCCCACAGAATGAATGCCACCTTCCTCCTGCACAACCCTGGCCTTCTCAGACAAGGTTGTATGTGAGAAGTGGAGCGATTAGAGCCCCAGCACTCCCATGTCAATTGCTGCTTCATCCTCGATCATCTGCTGTGGCCAGGAAGAAAGCACAGGTCCTAAGCACCCCCAGTGACTGGCCTCACGTATGAGTAGAAAAAGACTTGCTCCTTAACCAGCCCTGGAAACAAGGTGAGTAGGGACAGACTTTTGATGGCTCTAGTTATGTCCACAAGGGCAAGGTCCACTCTGGTCCCTCCTGGTGGGTCAGGTCCATGGCAGGTCTACCAGAGCAGCGGTTCTCAAACTCTACTGCATATAGAGTCACCCAGAGTGCTTAAAAGGAGCTGGTTGCCACATGGCTGACTATGGCTCAAATCTCCACCCCATGGCTTGAAAAACACACCTAGTATGTGTATCTCCCAAAGCCTGACAGGATAGAGAAATGGAGGAGAAAGGATTGCAGCATGACCGTGCCCCGACTGTTTTCGGCCTCTCTCTCTTTTAATAGAAAGTGCATGTGCCCTCTGGCAATTAAAAAAAATCTTTTTTTTTAAAAAGAATTATGTATTTAATTTTATTTTCATTTGACCAGAGAAAGACAGGCACATAGAGAGAAGGAAAGTGAGAAAGCAAGCCACCAGGTCTGGGACTCAAACTGTGCTTGGCCATGTGGAAGTGTCCAGCGCCTTAACCACCATGCTACCTGCTGGTCCTGTGGCAATGAAAAAAATTCCTAACCCCAGGGCCAGTAGTTAAGCACTGTGCAGAGAGAGCCAAATCCCACATGGCCAACTGCAGTCTGAATTCTGTCCCAGCAGTTGGAAAACATGGCAGTTGTGTGTCCCTGCTTGCCCAAGGTACCAACAACATGGACAGAGGACAAAGGGGAGATTGCAGGGCGACCAGGCCCCACGACAGGATGCTTTCTCCCTCATGTTTTCTCTGGTGCACACATACACAACTTGGCATTGGAAAAAAAAAAAAAAAGAAGAAGAAGAAAAAGAAATCCTGATCCCAAGCTGCAGGCCAGATCACTTACATTAGACTCCTTGGGGTCCAGACTCAGGCATCAACAGTTAAAAAAACCTCAGGTATAACCAGTTTGAGAACCAGTCCACTGTAGTCTGGGCACTGTGTTCCCTAGACAATTGTATTTATTAAAAAAGAATTTTTAAAGGTTTATGCTGTGGGGTGCAAACAGGAAGAGGGAAAGTGAGAAATCACCACCTCCCTACCCTCACCCCCAGAGAGGATGGCCGCACGACAATCCCTTCTCTTCCATTCTCCTGGGATTTCAGGCATGCACACACACGTGCCTGGTGTGATTTTCAAGCCTCTGGGTCTAGGACTTGAGCAGTGATCAGCCATGTGAGTGTCTGGCACCAAGCCACACTTAATGGCCCCAGGTTCTCCCAGATCTTGCTGACAGGACCATTTGGATCTCTCCTGACCACATGAGTTACATTTTCTTTGACAGGCACAATGAAGAATGTGACTAACTGTATGACACTCTTGCCTTGGTTGCTGGGGAGCTCAGAGCTCCCCTCTGCATGTCCATAGGACTTACCATAGTGCACTTGGAATTGTTAGCTCCCTGGCTCTCCCTTATCATTCTACCTGCTAACTTTTGCTACTTTAGTTCTCATTCACTATTTTAAGTGTTAGCTCATGGTAACGAGATAAAGTATCTTCTGTCTCCACCCATGTGTTGTGATCTAATGTGAGCTACCCAACGTCTCTGCCCTTCAGTTTCTGCATCTGTGAAAATGGGAGATAACAGCCAACCGCACTGTGAGGATCACATGGGTTAATAAAGGCTTGGCACACAGTTAAGCACTCAATACATGTTAGTTATTATTTTTATTGTTATTGTTTATGGGCGCCCATTTAAGTCCTTTGAAGAAGACAGATACGCCATCATTATCTCCACGATGGCCCTCCGGGGTCCCCCCCTCTCCAAACCTGAGCCCACCCTGACGAGGTCTCAGCCTTGGCCAGCCTGCCCGCTCCCCTAACTGGACAGGGGGCTCCCGAACGCGCCACGCTGGTTTCGGTCCTGCTCTGTCCATTGCGTACAGCCCACCCACCTTGGCTGTCCAGGCCGATGTCCATAACGCCATGCTTGACCTTCATGTGCCGGCTCAGGTTGCCCTTGAGGTTGAACTTGCTGGAGCAGTAGGGGCACTTGAAGGGCTTGCTGCCAGCGTGCAGGTGCATGTGGCCCAGCAGGTTGTACATGCGGTTGAAGGACTTTCCGCACACCTGGACACACCAAGCATCGCCGTTAGCCTGTGGGGAGCCCGCCTTCCCCAGACCTCCAGCCCGCTCCCAACTCCATGGCAGGGCCAGGACCCCATTTGCTCAGGATAGCACTCTCTCTGTGACCCTGAGGCCAGAGAGGCAGAGAGACAGAGAGACAAGCCACCCCTGTGGGCCACTGTTTCTGCCCCACCTTCTCTGAGCTGCAGTGATCAGAAACCCAGGGCTCACGTCTCCACCTGCACTGGCCCCCAGACCTGGGCCCATTCTCTGAGGTTGCACCTTGAGCTTCATCCCCTTCCCAGCTCTCAAAAAATCACACCACCAAGGGCCAGCCTGTGGCATGGAGGTTTAGGCACTGAATCCCACATGGCTGGCTGCACAGTTCAAGTCCCAGACCCAGCAGCTTGAAAATCATGTCAGATATATGTGCGTGTATTCCCAAAATCCTTAGAGGAGACTGGAGGAGAGAAGACTGCAGTGTGGTCATCTGCCCTGGGGGTGATTTCTCACTTTCCCTCTTTTTCTTTCTCTCTGGCAACTGCACGTGCCCTATAGCAAACACTTCTATTAAAAAAATCACAATGTCACCAGCTTCTAAGATCTAAACTCCTACCTACTGACCCCAACCCCAAAAGCCCTTGCCAAGTTTCCCCCAGTCGGGGCTCCCCTTGCTGGCTGCCACAGCCATGCTAACTCCAGGCTGCCCTTGAGGGGCCCACCCTGGGACCCCAAGGCCTGGTACCTTGCATTTGAATGGCTTCACGGGCGAGTGCACAATCATGTGGGTCTTGAGAGTCTGCTTCTGCACGAAGGTCTTGAAGCAGATGTGGCACTGGTAGGGCCGGACGCTGGTGTGGATCAGCATGTGCCGCTTCATGTTTGCCTGTAGAGTGAACTCCCGGCCACACACCTCGCACTTGAACTCCTTCACACCCTGTAGGGGGGTAGGGGTGAGGGTCAGGACCACCCACTGGCACAGCCCCTCAATGTGACCCTTGGTGGGGGAGGGCAGGCATTAGGGACATGGCATCATGTTGGAAGAACTCTGGGAAATGTCTCTCTGGGGTATTCTGAATAGGCACCCTGTGTTTAAAACCACTGGATGGGACCAGCAGTTAGCGTAATGGCTATGTCGCTGGACTCCCACGTAGTCGACCACGGTTCGCGTCCCAGACCTGGTGGCTTAAACTCACGCTGGGCGCGTGTGCGTGCGTGCCCAAGATCCTGAGAGGAGAATGGAGGAGAAGGGATTGCGGCGTGGCCATCCTCCCTGGAGGGGGGATGATTTCTTGCTTTCTGTTTCTCTGTCTCTATCTGTCTGGCAAGCGCACGCACCCTATAGCAAAAAACCTCTCCAAAAAAACCCAAACAAAATAAAAAAACCACTGGGTGGGGACCAGCAGATGGCATAATGGTTATGTCACTGGACTCCCACGTAGTCGACTGCAGTTCAAGTTCCGGACCCGGCAGCTTAAAATTTATGCTGGGTATATGAGTGTACATGCTCAAAATCCCAGGGAGAATGGAGGAGACAGTATTGTAGCATGGCCATCCTGTGGGGTAATTTCTCACTTTATGTCTCTGTGTCTCTCTCTGCCTGTCTGGTGAGTGTGCATGCCCTACAGCGCGCGCGCGCGCACACACACACACACACACACACACACACACCTCTAAAGAATAAATAAATAAAAAATAAAAACATGGGGGGAGGGCGGTGGCTGGCGTAGTGGTTGAGGGGTTGGATTCCCACATGGCTGGCCATGGTTCAAGTCCTGGACCTAGTGGTTTGCTTTCTCACTTTACCTCTTTCTGGTCAAATTAACAATAAATAAATAAAGTTAAATAAATAATTATTTGGTGAAAAAAAAAAAAAAAAGCCCAAAAACACACTTGTGGAATGTTGGAGCAGAGCTGCTTACTTCAGGAAGTCTTCCAGTGACAGGCGGAAATGGGTGGTACTGTTTCCTGCCCATCAAAGTGGGTATGTACCTAGGTTTGTACCAGGCCAGTGTGCTGAGGCAAATTTGTGGTAAGTCACTCACTCACTCATTCATTCATTCATTCATTCATTCATTCATTCATTCATTCATTCATTCATTCAGTAACCATTCATCAGACTACAACCAGCTCCATGCTAGGCACCAGGGCCTGTGGTCAAGAAGACACAGCCTTCCCCTGGTGGCTGCGGACCATCTCATTAGATCAAGGACGTGTGTCCCTTGGTATCCACGAGGGATTGTTCCAAGACCTTCCACAGGTGCCAAAAAATCTGCAGATACCCAAGTCTCTTAGACAAAACAGCGTAGGACCTGCAATAATCTATGCACATCCTCCATACACTTTAATTCATCTCTAGATCCCTTATGATATCTACAACAATGTAAAAGACATGTAAACAGTGGGTATACTGGGGCCACCCTGTAGCATTGTGTTTAGGGAGGCAGGATCCCACATGGCTAGTAGCATGGTTCAAGTCCCCAACCTGGCAACTTGAGAAACATGCCAGTTGTACGTACAAAATCCCAAAAGGAGGGAGAGATGAAGAGATTGCAGCATGACCATCCCCACGGGAGCTGCACATGCACCCCATGTTTCTCTTTTAAGAGAGATTTTTGCTATAGAACACATATGCTTGCTGGAGAGACACAGAGAGATAAAGTGAGAAATCACCCCCCCAAGGGGGATGGCCACAGCACAATCCCTTCTCCTTTGTTCTTCTTTTGGAATTTTAGGCATGCACGCACATGTACCTAGCATGCATTTCAAGCCTCTGGGTCTGGGACTCAAACCACGGTTGTTCACGTGGGAGTCCAGTGCCTTAACCGCTATACTCCCTGCTGTCTCTGTGTATGTTTTTTTTTAAGCTGCCAGATCCAGAACTTGAACTGCACAGCCAGCCATATGGGATCTAGCACCTTAACCACTGTTTCACCTGAGGGTCCCCAGCCTGGAGAGATTCTTATTCTCAACGGACTTTGAGACACTCAGCCTCAAGAGACAGAAGCCAGGGGCAAACCCCTTGATGTGGGCTGTCAGCATGCTTTCTTGTGTCTGAGGCAGTTCCCATAGCAGGACAGGGTGCCCTGTCACCAGGGATCCAATTTATTGTCTCCGGAGGAAAGTCAGGATGAAGTGGGGAGCTGCTGTTTGCTAAGTAGGTAATTTACTAGAAGTGCAACTAGACAGACATGTCTGTGGTCACAGCTGCTGTCCAAACTGCTTGCTTGGTACAAAGTTTCGTTTTATAATTGAACAGTTCCTGTGTCCATTTCTCTTAGCAGACAGGACTGGGTCTTGTGTACCTTCTTGACACATCCTGGTGTCAAGATGTGTGTTACCACCAGGGGGCCTTGCCATTAAGGAGTTTATAAGCTATAATGTGCCCACTGTACGTATTTAGGGGGTGATAGGGGTGTTTTCAATTTTAGTGGCCTTTGATTTCTGCTTTCAGCTATTTTTTTAAAAAAGAACTATTTACTTAATTTTACTTATCATTATTATTGTTTTTTTTAATTGGCCACAGGGTATGCATGATCACCAGAGAGAGACAAAGAAAGAGTGAGAGAGAGAGGAAAAGTGAGAAAGCAAGCCACACACACCAGGTATGAGACTCAAAACATAGTCAGCCATGTGGGAGTCCAGCACCTTAACCACCATGCCACCTGCTGGCCCCTCAGC